TCACTTTGTTTTATGGAGGCAGTCTCCTCTTAATACCAATGCCAGGAAAAAACACAACAAAAAATGAAAACTACCGACCAATATCCTTTATGAATGTAGATGCAAAAATCCTCAATAAAATTTTATCAAAATGAATTGAATAGCATATCATCAAAATAATTCACCATGAGCAAGTAAGCTTCATCTCCAGGATGCAAGGATGGTTTAATTACATACATCAATAAATGTGATTCACCATATAAATGGAAGCAAAAATGAAAAACATATAATCACCTAAATAGATGCAGAAAAACATTTCACAAAATTCAGCACCCTTTCATGACAAAAACCCTCAACAACTTGGGCATAAAAGGAATATATCTCAAGATTATAAATACAATATATGACAAGCCCACAGCCAACAACCTACTGAATCTCATTCCAACTTAGACAAGGATGCAACAAGACAAGGATGCAACTGTCACCACTTGTATTAAACACATAGTGCTAGAAATCCTAGCCATAGCAATCAGGAAGAGAAAGAAATGAAGGATATCCAAACTGGGAGAGAGGTGGTTCAACTATCATTTTTTTATTGATAATATGATCATATATCTAGAAACCCTAAAGACTCCATCAAGAGATACCAGGAATTGAGAAATAAATTCAGCAAAGTTTCAGGTTATAAGTTCAATGTACAGAAATAATTATAATTCCTATACACCAATAACAGTTAAATTGAGAGTCAAATCAAGGCTCAATATCATTTACTTAGCTACAAAAAAATAAATACCTAGGAATATACTTAACAAAGGAGGTGAAAGATTTTTACTAAGAGAACTATGAACCACTGAGGAAGGACATTGCACATGATTCAGACAAATGGAGAAACATACACTCATGGATCAGTAGAACAATATTGTTAAAATGCATACTGCCCAAAGTGATTTACAGGTTAAATGCAATCTCCATCAAAGTACCAAAGTCATATTTCATAGAGCTAGAAAAATATAATTCAGTGTTTGGTTGGAACCAGCCAAAGAAATCTTAAGAAAAAAGAATAAATATGGAGGCATCACATTACAACAAAGCTATTGCTACAAGAATATAGTAGCCAAAACAGCATGATATTGGTACAAAATGGACACGTAAACCAATAGAACTCAGAGATAAAACCATCTACATACAGCTAACTGAACTTGGAGAAGGCAGAGAACAATATACCCTGGGCAAAATAAACACTATTCAGTAAACGCTGCTGGGAAAATTGGATACCCACATGCAGAAGAATGAAACAGGCTCCATGTCTCTTACCACTCAACAAAAGTTAATTCAAGATGGATAAGACTTAAATATAAGGCATGAATCCTTAAGAATTTTAGAAGGAAATGTTTGAAATATTCTTACAGATATCAGCCTAGGCAAAGAATTTATGATGAAGTTACCAATGGCAATCATAGAAACAATAAAAATAAACAAACAGGTTTAAATTTAATTAAAAACCTGTTACACATCAATAGAAACAATTGATGAGCAAATAGACAACCTACAGAATAGGAGAGAAAATTTACAAGCTGTATAACCAACAAAGGGCTAATACCAGAATCTACAAAGAACTCAGCAAGAGGCACTCCTGATAGAAAGATGGGACACCAGCAGCTCTATTGGAGCCACTCGCAAAAATTCGGCCAGAGTTCTCGCTCTTGCCGCGTCTGTTCAAACCGGCACGGTCTGATCTGGAAATACGGCCTCAATATGTGCGGCCAGTGCTTCCTCCAGTACGCAAAGGACATTGGGTTCATCAAGTTGGACTAAGTAATCTTCCTTGAATGGATTACCCAGGGGGACTCAATGAAAGAAACCATGCTATGCTAACTTACACATATGGCCAATTCATGTACATTAAATAAAGTTAAAAAAAAAAACTCAGCAAGAATCTGCAAAGCAAATCAACAAGAAGAAACCAAATAACTCCATTTGAAAGTAGGCAAAGACATGAATAGAAGCTTTTAAAAATAATAAAGATAGATATAGCCAATAAACATAAGAAAAATTCTCAGCATCCCTAATCATTCGAGTAATACAAGTTAAAACCACAACGTGGTGTCACCTTCCCCTGCTAGAGTAGCTTTTATTAAAAATTCCTGAAATAAAAGATATTGGTGTGGATACACAGAGGTATAATCCTTATACCCTGCTGGTGGGACTGCAAATCAGTGCCACCCCTATGGAAATAGAATGGATATTCCACAAAGAACTAAAAGAAGACCTACCATTTGATCCAGTAACTCCACTACTGGCTGTTTACCCAAAGGAAAAAAAAGTCATTTTATCAAAAGGATACCTGCACATGAACATTAGTTGCAGCATAATTCATGGTTGAAAAGATGTGGAATCAGCCCAAGCCTCATGAATTCATGAGCAGATTAACAAAATTTGGAATATGATGGAGCCACGAAGAAAGATGAATTAAGGCCTTTTGCAAAAATTTGGATGAAACTGGAGACCATTATTTTAGGGGAAGTATTTAAGGGATGGAAAAACACTAGGAGGACTTATTATTAAACCATCTGTGCACATATGCCAGATGGAAATAAAAGTCAGTGGAAATCAGGCAGAGGGAGGTAAGTGGATGGGTTGGCAAAAAGCTACCTAAAGGGTATAATAAACACTATCTGCATGATGGACC